AGCAGCACTGTAGTACATTGTTTTCTGCTGCTACTGCTGGTGCTGTTGCTGGTGGTGCTGCTGTTGCTGCTGCTGGTGGTGCTGCTGTTGCTGCTGCTGGTGGTGCTGCTGCTGCTGCTGTTGCTGTTGGTGGTGCTGCTGTTGCTGCTGCTGGTGGTGCTGCTGCTGCTGTTGCTGCTGCTGGTGGTGCTGCTGTTGCTGCTGCTGGTGGTGCTGCTGTTGCTGCTGCTGCTGTTGCTGCTGCTGCTGGTGGTGTTGGTGGTGCTGGTGTTTTCAGGCGGATGCGGCACGTGAAGACGCCGTTCAGAAGTTTGAGGAGATTTCGCGGCTCGGCCGCACGGAGTTGTCGCTATTTCATCAGTTACGTGTTCACTCTCTCCAGACAGCGCTGGTCACGTACTGTCAGAATCAGATCTCCACCGGTCGCGATACCTACGCCATGTTGGCAAGAAGTCTCTCGGAGCTGCGTCAGATTGACGATGAGTGAAACGCTCGGCCCGTGCCAGCCCTCCCGGTACTCACGTATGTGTGTGCGTATACGTGTGTGCATATGCATGCATGTGTACGTGTCTGAATATACGTGTGTGCGCGTGTTGGCATGCGCACGTCACGACTTGTGAAATATAGTAATGATAATGATCGCCATCATCATCATCATCATTGTGAGTCAGCTCCCAGAGTGGTTGCCACTGGCAACTGTTGCAGTCGCCGCTCCCGCGCGGTTACCATGGCTGCTGTCATTGCTATGGTAAACACGGCTGCCACCCTCCGTCGCTGTTACTGTAAATGCTCCTGTTCATAAGCATAGTGTGCCGCTGCACATGCTGACGGGTATCTTAGTTTCTTGTAATTTCTTGTAATTTCTTTTCTTGCCGTTTCTTTTATTGCATTCTCCTGTGGGCCATGCAACCCACAATAACTACAGTTTCATTTGAACGCACGCCTACACACGCCTACGCACACACGGTACGCATGCGTGCCAGTGATTATTTCGTGTTGCGTTGTTGCGTTGATCTTCGCTGTATACAGCGTGTCAGTTGTAATGCCCCACTAGCTCTGTTGATTTAATCTTTCTGTACGGTAGAGATCAAGTTGGAAGCTAGCTAAAACGTGCTTCCTATCGATCACTATCATCAGTTCGAGCTCCTCTGTTAACCCCCGGGCCTTGCCTCAGGACAGGGTGGTTCTCGGATGCCTTACACCTGTACTTTCCTTGTTATCCTCTCGCCTTGCCGCCGTGCCGTTACACCACAGTAGTCTACTCTCACTTTAGCTATTCCTCTCCGTCTCTCTCCAGATTATTTTTTTCCACGATTACAAGTACAATGTACATGGTGCTCTATTGCTGCATCCTAGCAATTCCCCATGTGTGCATGTGCACACACACACACACACACACACACACACACACACACACACACACACACACATCTGTGTTGACTAGTGGCATTGCAACTGACCTCTAAGCTAACATAGTCATTACTGATCGCAATCGTATCGTTGTAGCGTAAGAATCGGAAATCTGTGAATTTCCTCCGGACAATATTTTCCACTTATATTTTTGATTATTGGTATTATTGAGTATTTGGCATGTTCTCTGACTTGTAAGCCCCTCTTCTTCTAGCCACCTTCTAGCCTTCTATGTTTCTAGCGTTATTGTTGAGCAGTAACAGAAGTTGATACTGTAAATCCTTGTCTTCATGTGTGTTGGGCTGTTTTGGGCTGTGTTGGGCTGTGTTGGACTGTGTTGGACTGTGTTGGACTGTGTTGGGCTGTGTTGGGCTGTGTATAGCAGCAAGCAAGTTGGTAGCTTTTCCCCTGACGACGCTGCTTGCTAGCAATGCGTGCATGGTTTGCTGGGCGGATGCATTCATGTGGAGACGCGCAAGGCGTGCATGCTTTGCTGGGCGCATGCATTCATGTGGAGACGTGCAAGGCGTGCACAGACACACAGTGCCCTGCATGTTGTGTGGGTGATGTGTGCATGCATGCGTGCACGCCGGATCAGCTAGGGAGTGCGGTAGATCTACGGACTCCCGGACGGCACTGACTTGCTGGCCCTACACACACACACTGAACCAAGAGTACACAATCATGTAACAATGACTATAATTATCATAAGCCCCATACTTGCATACTCTTGATGTAACAAAGAGAGACTGAGCATGTGCAGGTTCTGACTTGATTGTTCTGCCTGCATGGGTGTCTGCTACTGTGAAATTCCTGATCATAAGAATAATTATTAATAGCTGGTGCAGATATGCGGCGGAAAGTGTAATGGGTATAGTACATGTACACCTGAGCTGCAGCTGTGCAGCAGGAGACCTCCCCCTGACCTGCTGGAATGCATGCATGCTTGTGCATGTACACACAGCATCACAATAAACTATCCGCATGCATGCCGCTATCAAAAGTACATACCGTATTTCCACAAATAGTAGGCCGGTCTACTATTTTTTCAACCTCGCCCTAACCCGGCCTTATAATCGAGGAGGGTCTTGTATTCGAGGACGGTCTTTTATTCTTTCAACCCAGTTTGACCCCGGTCTTCTATTTCTCGCCACACAGTTTTACCCCCGTTCTTCCATTTTCTTCTACACAGTTTGAACACGGTCTTCTATTTTTTTCCACGGTTTGAGCACGGTCTTCCATTTTTAACACAAGAACAAAGACTCATTTAGTAGGCCCGGTCTTCTAATCGGAGACGGTCTTTTATTTTTTCAATCGCCCCCTGCCCCGGCCTTGTAAACGAGGAAGGCGTTGTATACGAGGACGGCCTTTTATTTGCGGAAATACGGTATAGTTGCCGGTTATAGGTCGACCCCGTCCTCCCCATATCCGAAGGTCTTATTTTCTGTTTGTAAAGTGTTCACCAAACCAAGCACTGCTAACCACTTCCTTTACTAACACATCCACAAATCACATAACACACTCCTCATTGGAGAGTGAAATGTCCAAATCATGGAAAAAAGGCTAATAAACTGGCAAAAAGACGTACACACTCGTGCATGCAGTGCAGGTCAATTTTGGAAGCTGCCGGTTGTAAGTCGGCCCTTAACTTTTAGTCGAAAAAGGTCGACTGATAACCGGTGAAGTACGGTAGCATTATGCAAATATCTCTCTTTATATATATATATCTGGGCAGTCTTGGACAAAACTAAAACCATTGGCAGTGATCCACTCGGTCAGGTACAAATCACTATACATGTGCCACCGTCCTTATTCGGTACCGACCCAAAACGCCGCACGGAATTTGTCACATCAGCTTTGGTCACTATACCAGTGTCACCCACGTGCCGAAAATAAGTCTCTGCCGAAATGCTGTATGACTTTACAGCACTGTGTACTGTAGCTGTGCAAAAACTGATTCGAACTTTGGAGAAAACAAGGGCATATCAGCACAGACGTAGAAAACGATTTGAATTCGGGAAAAACATCGGCATAATCAAAGTGAAAACCGTCTAATAGTTGCCGCTGACCAAGCAGCTGGACAGAGCAAACAGATATCATGATCCCAGCAGCTGGACAGAGCAAACAGATATCATGCTGCAGGTGCAAGCAGCTGGACAGATCAAATAGATATCGTGCTGCAGGTGCAAGCAGCTGGACAGAGCAAACAGATGTCATGATCGCAGCAGCTGGACAGAGCAAACAGATATCATGATCGCAGTACAGTCAAC